GATTGCACGGTTTGGACCGGTTTATGGGTCTGTTTTTTTTTGTAACTGAGGAAAGGTGGATCGTTGGGATACTGTGGTGTAATCTTGGGTTTTTTGTCGTGAATCGACGATCCAAGGTGCGCGATACAGAATTAACGGTTCTTGAATTAATTCAGTCGGGTTTTTTTTTTATGGCTGTAGTTCGCTGTGGCCTGGACGGGTTAGTCTTGAGTGTCGAGCATTTAACGGTGATTTCATCGAAATATTAATAAACAATATTGATAATTGAGAAATAAAATTACTCGTGTATTGGCCTGATGGTAACTAATCGATCCTTCACTGATTTTCATTGTTAACAGTAGAACTACCAAAGCAGTCAGAGGTAACTGGTTAGTACGCTTTTATTAATGATGATTGCAATTTCGTCGATTATAAATCGATAATGACTAGAGTTTGTAGAATTAGAATGCGATCAGTTTGCTAATCCATCAGAACGGTGTTGAACAAACAATAGAAATGGAAACTGATGATTCGGAAGTGTTATTGAAAAAAAGACCCTGACCGATCGACCAGTGAACCGAATTAAATGAAATCGCAAGGGTATTATTGTAATAAATATTTTATGGTAACAAATCGGCAGAACTTAGTTAACGACTTAATAATAACAATATTAAGTTTGTGCAAAAGAAGCAATTGAAGCTGTTTGTCCATTATTTTCAATCTCTATCCTGACTGAACAATTGCCATATATGTAATCCGTTTAGTCGAAATGGTCACTAGCATTTTTTTAAATTTGTTTACCATTTTTTCTCGATAAAGATTAAATTACCCGTGGCCATTCAGAGTGGCCAAATTGTCCATATGTCGATTTCTCGACCGGCGAATTTTCCAATAACCGCGAAATATCGCGAAAACTCAGCCCACTTATCATTGTCCTTTCTTTTTTCCACGCACTTTAGCGGCTTCCATCTGTGACATAAGTGCGACAAGACTAAGTTCTACACGCGTGTTTCGCGAATTAACCACACCGAGTCCCACGTTCGACGCTAAATTAAGTTTTCTTTTACTACCCCCAGCGTTGTCGTTATTCATTTTTTTTCTTAACGCCTCGTAAATCCTCGGTGTTCCTCGTTGTCGTGCATTGCAATTGCCATTTACATTTACGCCGTTTATTTTGAGAGCGGTGTAAATCTAATTTCTCGAAAAGTCGACAATATGGTAGTTATAGTTACACACGATGAATATAAATAAAATAAATAAATCTAGAAACAGTGGAATTACGCCATTTTCAAAGTAAACGGTTCGTTTCTCTTGGGTAAGTCTTTTTAGAGCCATTTTGCGGTTGGAAAGTCATTTTAACCCTCTGTGTAAGGACTTATGGTATAATAAAATAAATACAGATATTTTGTTTTAAGAAAATGTGCTTCTTAAGCGATGTAACCCTAGTTTTTTTTATTCTGAACCACCTGTGTAAATTGACGATTTTACGATTTCAACTGTATTTCTGTACAATTATGTAGGTAAGTTAAGTTTAATTTTTTTCATGTATTTTTAATGGAAAACTGTTGAATAAAAATTATCCAGCGTAAGAAACCTTGATATTGTGATTTTATTTCTACTCAAACATTCAAAACATTTTCCGTACTTTTACTAATAATTTGGCCATTCGCTGTAGATTGTAATTCATAAATAAGGGAATTAATGTTATAACTATCTTAATACAAAGAAAAATAATTAGAAACACCACGGAAAATATTAGAATCTAATGCTATTTACGATGCATGTAATCTCGAAGCTATGAGGCGTTATAGTTTTAACTTTACCTGCTTCTTTTCCTTCGTTTGGAATGGACAAGAGCTCGGAGGCATGTCTCAAGATTTATTATACAGCTTATTAAATCCATTTTGCTTTAATTGGTCTCCGTTTCAGTCATCCTGCTACCTTGTATGTATGCGCGTTTCCGTCATCAAGACGTTCTTGTTTTTGAATGCAAGAACGATTACCTCGTTCAGGTAATATCAGTTTTCGTCGGTTTCGTTTTACCCGTCGATCCTCTTGGTGCAAGATTTTATGCAGATTATCTCTCGTTCCTTCGTGAGACATTTCCCGCTTCCGGTATTTTCTTTCATAAAAGGTCGTCCACAGGAGTGTGGTGCCGTCGAACCCAACTTGGCTGCATTTCAATTATTCACTGCTTTATTGAATCGATGTAGTCGAACTGGTCGATTGTGAGACATTTTTTTCAAGAGTTGTGGACTTTCGAAATTTTCAAAACTTTCAAGACTTTTCGAAACTTTTAAGAGTTTCCAGACGATCTAAATTTTCAACGATTTTAAATCTGAACATTCTTTAGACTATAGATATCCAAATTTTTCAAATGTTTGAGAGATTTTTTGACTTTTTGGACTTTCGGATCGGTCTGCTTTTAAGACTTTCAAAACTTTCAAAACATTCAACGCTTTAAGGACTTTCAAAAGTTACCTGAGCTTTCTAGACTTTCAAGACTTTCCAGACTTCTAAGACATTCGAGAACATTGAAGTTTTCAGTGTTTTCAAGGCTTTCAAGACTTCTAGGCCTTTCAAAACTTTCCAAACTTTCGAGGCTTTCAAATCATTCAAGACGTTTAACCCGCTCGATGTTTATGTCAAGTACACTCGTCATAGCTAAAAAAAAAAACAATTAACCACACAAGAGCACCTTTGTAAAATGAAATAAAACACTTGGTTAACAAACACTGATAATTTTCAAGGTTTTCCGCCCAAAATTCATATAAAAGAATCACTCGTAGATGTGTTGTCTTTCCCTCTTTCGCACGGGGCAGCGCGCGCGCGTGCTCATTTAAATAGCGCGGACGCGTATGTGTATGTGTATGTGTGTGTGTGTGTGTATTTGTGTGTAGGTGCACGCGGGAGAGTTTAGACGAGAGGTAGGCAGAGGGGTTTCCGGCGAGCGTTAACAGAGTAACAGAGTGATGTAATGAGGCCCGGAAGCAGGCAATTTGCCGGCCGCGGCGGCGGCGGCGGCGGCGGCGGCGGCGGTCGCAGTTGCGCGAGACAACCTGCCCGGAGTACCTTCTTCTTGATAACCGGGGTCCAGCCCCGACGCCTCCGGATCGGATATCTGTTCCGTTCGTCGCACCGTGAATCCGTTCGCCGACGGTAAACCGTTCCATCCCCCTGGCCACGGTATACAAGGCGATCCACCACGAAACCACCCCGTTTGGAAATCACCTTTCTCGATCGTGAGCAGAAAAAGGAATTCCTCAAACTCGAAGAAAATCGAATTCCTCTAAGTCGAAGAAAATCGAATTCCTCTAAGTCGAGGGAAAGGGAATTCCGGAAAGTCGAAGAAAAGGGAATTCTACAAAATCGAAGAAAAGGGAATTCCACAAAGTCGAAGAAAATGGAATTCGTAACCACTTGTGAACACTGACTGAACACTGACCTGTATGATTCCTTGGAATCCAGAATCCGATTTCTTGGATCTGATATTATTGTACCCTTTTGGTATTAGCGTGGTCCGATTGGTCGATGGTCCACAATTTAGTGAACATTTGGAATATTTTGGTAGAGAGGAAGATTGATTTGTGAAAGGTGAATGGAAGACCCGTTGACCAGGTGGATTTGAGTATATGTTTTGAATCGTGGAGGTTTGGTGAAAGACGATTGGTGGTGGTCAGTGGGAAAAGAGTGATAAGGCGAGGAGGATATATATGGGGGTATTCATTGAAGGAAAAGTTAGTTTGGAGGAGTTTGCAGTGTTGAATCGTGGAGGTATATTGCTGCGATTAGGGACACATGTACCTTTGTGTTATGGGACGGTTCGTTGATTGATTCAGCGAAGATCGTGATTGGGAAGTGTGTCGAGAAAGGATAAAATAGGGTGAAGAATTTGAAGCATGCAAGATTTACTGTGAAATGGAGAGAAGAGACATATACCGGTGATAGCAGATCCTGATGGAAGAAGCTTGGTGTGAAATAAATTGAAAGAGGTTAGATCTGGTTTTGTTCATATCGACGATTAGTGACCGAAGATCTTGGTGATTCGATCACCTGACCCCAGAGGTGTTTACGTCGGAGTGTGAAGTGGAACTTGTGGAATCTCTGGTGAACAGTTAACCTCTATGAATTGTGATCCTTCGAGTATCGAATTTGAATTAACCATAAACATCGGTAGTTATCGATGAGTATTTTGATACTTTCATTTGATAATTAAACACTGCCCGATACCAATTCTTCCATCACCAAATTCCGCTTTAACAATCGAATTGAATCTTGAAATCGCGGATGAAACGTCGAAACATCTGAGATACAATTAATAACATTAGAGTACGCCGAGTACTTCCCGATGGATCGATTCTTCAAACGCTAAATTCCAATTTAACAATCAATTTCACATCTTCCAAAGTGCAGGCGAGAATCTCAGAATATTTCGAACGGACACGTGACACGCCACCCAATACCAATTCATCGAACACCAAACTCCACCTTACAGATCAACTTTACGCCATCTTCTAATAGTACAGTGAAAATTTTCGGATCGCACAATTTTCCAATTAAAATCCAAACGAAAAAAAAAAACAAAGGAAAATATTAATGTTCCACGACTAAATTTCCAGTAAAAAATACAGAAAGTAGATCGTTGCAAACCGCGTTGTGGCCATTTAGACGGTCGTCGTTACGGGACACGCGGAAACCGTATACTTGCGGCCCGCCGGAGGTGCACCGTGATTATGTGACAGTTTTGTGAACGTGATTAAATTGACCTCGATACATTGTGGACATCCGCGGGCGCTCGTTCTCTCTGGTGGCCGTTTTATTCGCGGCTTGTGCGTGTATGTGTGTTTGCTTGTTTCTCTTTTCTCGAGTGAAGACGCGTCGGGCCCCGTGGAACGCGCACCGGGCCCCTGTCTTGGACCCGCCATGCTGCCGGTGGAATCTTGAACCGTTGGACGGTGGAGGAGGGGGAGGAGGTGGAGTAGAAGGAGAAAATCCTTTGGTCCGTGGACGGCGAACGATCGATGATCGGCGTGCACGGTGTGGAGATCGCGTTTTATCGTGGAAATCGTCGCGGCGAACGCACCAGGTAAATCGTGACGTCATTCTTGATTTTTTTTTTTTGGTCGTCCGCTCGCTTCCGGGCCGAATAATATCAATTTATTAGCAGTAAGCTGATATACGTGAACTAGTGGTGAAACACTTCTGTAGATAGATATATGACGATGTGTCTTGGATTACTATTGCTTTTGTTCTGCGAAATGAAATTGTGCGAAAAGGGGAGGAATATCGTTGTCTTAGCGTTGTAGTTTTACGTAGGAACTAGTACTGAAACCTTACTGTAGATAAATATTTGATGACGAATTGTCAGTGGTTCTGGTTATTACTGATCTCGTTGTAAGAGAAGAAATCCTGTGAAAAATGGCGTAATGTCGCCCTCTTAAGGTAGAAGTTCTGTATAAGAACTAGTATTGAAACCTTACTGTAGATAAATACGTGACGACGACTTGTCCTGTGTTTCAGGTTACTATTGCTTTCGTTGTAAGAGAAACAAATTCTACGAAAAAAGGAGAAATATCGATTTTCTAAGATTAAAATTCTGCGCAGGAACTAGTATTGAAACCATACTGTAAATAAATATGTTATCCAGGGACGTCAGTTGCTCAGCTGACTGTTAGTTCTCTCCAGAGACTGAGATAAAGATTACTGGCAACAGCGAAGTTTTGACGTCATTCTGATAAATTCTGTTTGACGAACTAGTAGTGGAGCATTTCCGTAGACGGGAAAACTGTTACGGTCTGTAGATTTTCCGAATGGTTAGATCGTAATCAGCCACGAGTCCATGCAAATTCCTTCCCGCTATCACCTTTCGGGGATTCGGATCGACGCGATAAGTTGTCGGGCCGCGCCGATAAAATATGTAGATCGGCTGGTAGATCCACAATGGACAGCTAAATTACGGACAGATCGGTTACAAGATCCTCCTGGTTGTTACGTGCACGAAATCTGCCGCCGTTTAGTTGTTACATTCGACGATATTCCTCGAAAGGTTTCTTCCTTTCACGCGATCACCGGTGATTTTCTGACCGAGACGATCAGAGCTGCTCGTTTCGGTACCAGTGACAAATACCAAGCGATAGTTCTTCACTTTTACTGTGTATATCACTATTACTTTTAATATCTTGAGGATTAAAACTCGTTGCGAGGCGATGATCGTACATCGAATATATGTAGGCACATATTTTAATGGGAGAAATTAAATTTTTCGTTGCACTCACCATTATTCTACCGAAGAATGTTTGTATATATACCTGTTCTTTAATTATAATTCGGTAAATTTTCAGTAGGTTCACGAGCGAAAATTATTTGCGATTCCCATTATGAATTTTGCTCGTGATCTGTTAGTTTCAGTAAAATACAATGTTATTCGTAGTTTGATCAATATTTCATAAGAAGTAGTTCCCGTTTGGAGCCAGGTGTGGCGTTCCTTAAAATGGCGGCGTTTCGACCGTCGTTCCTTCCGCCATCTTGAATTCGGACTTCTGGATCTCTAACGGAAACGATTCCAGAGTTCATATAATTATTGTGAACGATTTATCTGGTGTCACATGTTCACGTTTGGAGATTCGGTTTCAGTCCCCTCCGGTAATATATTCGCTTCATTCATAAGAAACTTTCTTGCGCGCTAGCGCGCTCGCTCGATTTAATTCGATCGTGACTTTACCGGATGCTTCAAGGGCCCTTTAATGATCTTTAACGACGCTGCCCACTGTACGACAAGTGCCGTCGAGAGTTCAAGTAACTCACACTCGGTCTGTTAGCACCGTTCATTGTCTCCGGATTACGTTTTTTCTCTTTGTGACACGCCGCTTCTCTGAAGGCCCACGAGGCAAGAGCGAGCTGATGTCGTTTGATAGTGCCCGATATTGTGCTACGATGTTTCCTGAAGCCAATCGAAGCAAGGAAAATTCTTTGGAGAAATCAATGGAAAATTAACGATCAAAGAAAGGAAAATTCGTTGGGGAAGTCAATGGAAAATTATCAATCGAAGCAAGGAAAATTCGTTGGGGAAATCAATGTAAAGTTATCGATCAAGGCAAGAAAAATTCGTTGGGGAAATGAATGGAAAATTATCAATCGAAGCAAGGAAAATTCGTTGGGGAAATGAATGGAAAATTATCGATCGAAGCAAGGAAAATTCCTTGGAGAAATCAATGTAAAGTTATCGATCAAGGCAAGAAAAATTCGTTGGGGAAATGAATGGAAAATTATTAATCGAAGCAAGGAAAATTCGTTGGGGAAATCAATGTAAAATTATTGATCAAGGCAAGAAAAATTCGTTGGGGAAGTCAATGGAAAATTATCAATTGAAGCAAGGAAAATTCCTTGGGGAAATCAATGGAAAATTATCGATCATAGCAAGGAAAATTCGTTGTTGTTTCAGGGGCTCTTTGGTGATGTACGACAGCGCTAGCTGTTCGTACGCAGGTGCGCTCGAATTAAAGGGATCCTCCGGAGCCGGAGCCGCGGCCGCGGCGGCCGCAGGTGTAACCGCGGCCGGCGTCAAGCAGGAGAACTGGCCGTATCGCGGGCTGACCTGCGGCAGCACCTTTCAGAGGCTCAAGGAAAGCGTCGACAAGGCGAAACAGGCCCTAGCCGATCGCGGTGGATACCTGTCCGGAGCATTTTCACCGCCGCCGCGCGCCAATCCATCCGCCATTTCGCCGACCGCCTCCATCACAGGTGAGAATATCCAATAGAAATTGATGTAGTCTTGCACCCTTTTTCAAGGTATTTTTTTGTGCACTTTTAACTCTTCCTTTTTTCATCTGTTCTCATTTGGGATTCTTCGTTCTTAGATAGTCTTACGGAAAGACGTAGGTCGTCATTCGAACGGTGATTGTGTCGTCGGATGATAAACTTGAGTGATGTGAACTCTTTTGGAACTTAGATAAATAATACACTTTTATGGAATGAAATAAAAAAAAACACAAGAATACCGTCGATATTCCAGTCAATAGTTTGATAAAACGGTAACGATCGAAGGTTACTTTTTCAACGCTCATTTTTAACCGGTTCATTGGATGGCATTCGAAGATAGGGCTGCGATTGGACGAGAAAGAACGACTTCCTTTTTCCGTGGTTCTCGCGTCGGGACACGCATCGAAGTCGGACAGGTTAACTTGGCAGCAAACGCGTTGCTTCCGATGTTTAAACCCAGACCGCGAGGTCACGCGAGCACACGAGCACCGATGGAAAAACCACGCACGCGACACATACGATTACGCGCAAGCTCGTGTTCTGGGGTTCGAATGGTACAGAGCCCCCCCCCCCCCAGGAGGCGGGTCCGTTACCGAGATAAAACCTTATATTCAATGCGATTATTCTAATGAAACTTTTTTATCTGATTCGTTTGCCTTTCTTTTCTTGCGTACATAGGGATAAACCGATACTGTCCACGTATGGATAGTTTTATTCATAATTTGTATCGAAAGAAAGTATCAATATCTACTTAGTATCGCATCAAAAGTATCGATACCTACTTGTATCGAAGGAAAATGAAGTTACACCTGGCGACCTCTCCTTGTCAGTATCAAAGCCTTCGAACACTCATCGGTGATTTACTGTATAATGAATTTTCCCATCTCTGATTTAAACAAAGATATATTTTATTAATGAGCATTTATTAACGAAGACATATTTTATTAACGAACATTTATTAAATGTTTAATGTTTATTAATTTTTTCGAAAACTTTATGTCGATTAGTTTAGGACAATCATAAATCCCATTTCGATTCGTTTTCTGGAGTGCTAACACGTGTGTCGTGATTGTCACGCGACCGTCAAAGGAACCTGGCTGGCTGGAATTTGACCAGGATCGGAAAGGTTAACACGATTGGCCCGGCACAATTGCTGTGAGTCATTCCTTTTCTCACGGCTTTAACGAATTCTGGGATCTAATCAAATGTTTCCATCTTGACGTTTCTCGTGATCGTACACAGTAATTTTAGACGTTTTCTCACGTTGCCGACTCACCTCGTTCGTTGGTGCTCGCGTGTCGATGATTATAAAATAAATCATATATATACTATTCAGATAGAAATCGATGTAACATAAAATGAAAGAAAATAACTCAATTTTCTTTTGTTCTTTTGGTTTCGGTAAATGTTAGTACACCACCCCCTTTTTGACGAAGACTTTCGCTAGGGGTTGCAATGTCCTCCAAGAAAACGTAAACATTATATCAGAATTTTCATAGAATCTGCATAAAATTTTCCTAGGATTTTCATAAAATTTGTATAGGATTGTTAGAGTTTCTGTAGAAGTTCCATAGAATTTTCATAAAATTTTCATAGAATTTTCCTAAGATTTTCTTGGAATGTTCTTATAATTTCCCTAGGATTTTCATAGAATTTTCATCAAATTTGTACAGTATTGTTAGAATTTTCATACAATTTCCAAAACTTGAGTTTTCAGCTGTGAGTAAACTAGTACAACTCCGTCAAAGGGTTAAGAAAGTTATGGACCGGTCGAAAGATGGAAAACGTTCTAGAGAGAGTGCGTGTCGCGTAAAGTTTTCCAAGCGAGCGGCACACGGCCGATAAATTTGGAGCAGGATATTGGTGGTGGTCGTGGAAAGCAGTCGACGATGATAACGTGATTTACACCGGCCGGGTAATTAATGTCCTCGGCGACCGGCGCTTTAAAAAAACAATCGGAAATCGGCGACAACGAAGAGCAACAGTCAGGCCGCCGCCGCACGGTATCGCGGCCGGCAACCGACTGACAAATTATCGCGGTACAGAGATTTTCCTCCTATTTTTCCTCGATGTTCTTCTCTTTTTGTGTTTTTTTTTTTCTGTTTGGTTTATATAATTGGTTTCCCGTTTTATTGCGCGTGCATCTCGGAAGTCTCGAACCTTCGAGATACTTCTTGGGAAGGGACTGTTTTCGGGTGAAATTTTTTATATTGTGTCTTTTAGAGTAGGTTTCTTGGTGGTTCGAGGAATGAGTGGGGGACTGTTTGGTGAAATTGAAGACTGAGTAACATTTGGATGTTACTATGTGGGTTTGTTTTGAACAAGTATAGCTTAAAAATCTTTATAAGCTCCTCGGTTAGAATATTATTAAGCTATGTAGTTTTCAATGGAAATGAAATAGAATTTTCATAGAATTTTGATAAAATTTTTATAAGATTGTTAGAATTTTCCTAGTATTTTCAGAAACTGAGTTTTCAGTTCCGAGTGAATCAGTATGAACCTAGCTATTTAGTCACTTTAACATTTCACACGTATCACTAACACCCTGTATACTATCATGTAAAACCCCGTTAAACTCGAAGTCGGACAATTGGAGTCCTTCCCTTAATGTAACGACCGTAAAAATCACGATTTACCGTCACGTGGAAACGTACCTAAACAAAAAATACCATCGTTCGCATCAACCTAATACTTCAATACATCAAAACATAAAGATTGTTAAATTCTAGAATGTATATTTAAACAAGAGACGCGTTTTCTTTATTCAGTCCATATCCTGTTCCTTCGTGGGCATACACTCAAAGAACCAAAAAGAGAAGGAAAAAAACCATATTCAGCACAGATTCTATCCCTTACGTGCCCAAAGAGAGAAAAAGAAATTATTCATCGATCGGGAGTTATCACCGGGTCTCGGGGGTAACACGGAGAGCGTCTCGAGGCAGCCGAAAACTTTTCACCGGAGATCGTCTCCCGGTCACACTGGTGGCAAGATGGTGGGTCGATGATGGCGGCGTAGTCGCGAAAACGCAACGGAGGGATGACAAGGGAGGAGGAGCGGTTACGGGGTTAGCCGGGAACGTATCCATGACGACCGACCGCCCTGCGAATCGCCACCCTCGGTGAATCCCGGATGCACCCCTCGGCATCACCCAGCATCCCTCTCTCTGCCCTCCGCAACCCTCCGTGGCTCGCCTCTCGTATCTCCCGACGTGTACGCGGCCCTCTCCGCGTGCTTCACGCTCGGCTACTCTTTCATTTCAAGTCGGATCGTTTCGCGTCGGTAACCTACAGGGTGTCCCGTTCGAAGGGGTGCAAACAGTTTCGTGAACGTGTACACGTATTCGATATTTTGTTCCTGAGTTGTAGAGATTTTTAGACTCCTGTAATGTTGTTGAAATGTTTACTTTCCGATGGAGGTTTTGAAACATCCTGTAGAGTACATTGAATAGGATTGAAAAGATTCGTGTGAACCTGTACCATATTCAATCTTGTACAGTGTTGGAATACTCACTTTTTAAGAGTTTTGTAGCGCCCTGTAGAGTACATTTTAAGGGATGAAAAGATTTCGTGTAACTGTGTACCATATTCAATCTTATTTCCGAATTGTAGGGGTTTTTGTACTCTTGTAACATTGTTGGAATGCTTACTTTCCAAGGGAGGTTTTGAAACGTCCTGTAGAGTATTTTTAAACCTTCTGAGTTTTCGTCGAATTCTTGTATTCAAGTTTAATTTTGTTTGCTTTCATTTGCGATCGACGTTCAAAATTCTTGTGCTTCTATACTTTTCTGGTACAGGGTGTTTCATAACATACAAAGGACAAAAAGTTCCCGTGACTATGTACACCGATTAGTCTTGACTTTGAATAATCTTGAATCATCCTGTATATGTATGTGGAACTCTACCTATGTAACACCCTCATTATCAAGTGTATACCCATGGGATCGATCCAATATTTTGTCAATAATTTAACAATTTAAACTGGACACACCTTTCCACACTCTGACCCTATGAATAAAATGTATTGTCAGGATAACGAATTGATCAACAGAAACATGAAAATTCCCATAAATAATAATGGGAAAAAAAAGTAAAAGAACAAAAGAATAAGGGAAAAAAGTAGTTCCTCGTCGGTAAGCGGATTCATTTCGTGCCCGATCGGTCCCATTATGCTGCACGTCGGATATTGTGTCAGTGTGCCCGAGGGCGGCGCGTGTATTTAATGTTTTGTCGGTCGAGCACCATCCCGCCTTGTTTGCGCTGGTAATTGATGTTTGACAAAATGAGGTGACGCGCATGCCGACAACGTGTGCTGTTTGCCCGGCCGCGGCCACCGGTGGCCGGCCCTTTTAAGGCTCCCAGGACTTATCGTCGCGCGTTCGATCGTGCACGCTCTGTTCAACTAGGACTGAAGTCGCGGGACACTTGTACAGGATGTTACAGAAACGACGGTCCATTTCCTCGTAAACAATTGTGTTCTATGTTACACGATATTTTCTAATCAGTAAGAGTAAATACAGAAATAATTGAAAGTGATATTGCATTATAGTACAGGGTGTTTCAAAATTAAAAAAATTTGTTAGCTGGATAAATTCTCGAAACTGTTGTGTTAGATAAAAGGGAGTATTTTACTTATTTCGAGAAGTTGCCCTCGGCATATGATCAGAAAATCGTAAGGATCTGTATATAACAGATATACAGGATGTTTCAGATGTTTCGCCTGATCTCCGTTTTTACTGAAGATACAAATATATGCGTTAGGTAAAAGTTGTTCGATTCACCGAGACTAATATATAAAGACTCACTTTCCTCCGATATTTTTTTATATAATATTTGTTATTAAATTGTGGTATCGATTAGCTAACAATAACAAAACCGAACACAACTACACCAACGCGGATCGTCCACACCGTCGAAAAAATTTCGTAATACCTATTTCTGGATTGCCAAGTGTACAATTTTCAAAACTATACAGGGTGTTTCAG